CATTTGTGCAATAATCAGAGCTAAAATACAAGTAGATATAGATATCAACCAGATTTATTGATTATAGAAACTCTGACAGGTGAATCAGTCTACTTATATATACATGTATATATATATACTACACCATTTATATTGGTTTCTTGCACAATATTTCAATATGATGCATCACTATATCGTTTTAGATTACATCCTGATATAAACTTCAGGAAAATAGTCAACTGGCACGACAAAAAATGTATTATCTTATGCAAGTTGTACTGGATAACAACATGAAATGGACAATGGCACTAGAAAAGGAATTCAGAGACTTTAAATACAATATGCTTCTTGGTTCTGGAAAGGTTCTTTTTTTACATCAGATTATACAATATGCGTAGATAGTAGATGTATATTATATACAATATGTGTAGTTTAATGGTCGAGTGCGAGACATTAAGTAATATATTGATATATCTATATATTACGTAATGTCTTGCACGAGACCATTAAACAACTTAAAATACAGACACTATTTAGCATGTGCATTTCAATGAAATACGTCACGTGGGTCCAATATTTCAACTAGTATAAATAATGTAAGCTAGGCACATTGCCCGTACCATTATTAGAAATAATGGTACACCAACATCATAGGATGACGTCACATCTGTATTTTAAGTGTAGATAGTAGATAGTACATGTAGATACCCATTAATATTATATACAATATATGCCTAGATAGTAGATGTACATGTATAGACATTTTTTTTCAGTTATCGCCCCTAGTATCTCAATATATACAATATATGCATATATACTCTTCAAAAAAAAGTAGGGGATATTCAGAAACAATACAAAACTGCGGAAATGTATTTCTGTTTTTATTAGAGGTAACCAGTGTATGTTAATAACAGGCCTATTGCCTACACATGAACATAAACAGTTCATATATAAGACGGACCCATTTCACTTACAAAGAGATACACCGTCAAAAGTGAAAATGGACGTTTTTGATTTTTGTCTTAATAATGAGTAATTGCTCCACCAATCCTCAGACATTCAGCAATTCTTCGTGGCATGCTCCTAATCAACCGTCCAATCACGATTTGGGGCAATCTGACCCACTCTTCTTGCAGTGCCACGGCCAATTCTTGCAGTGTTGTCAGTTGACGTTGACGTTGACGTCGACGAACACGTCTCCAAATGAAAATAAACGTAACACACTAAAGCAATGATACGCTAAACAGTAAAGCTTATGCAAGAACCGATAGGAATGCTAACATGGATAGATAAACCAGCACGTGGCAGTTTTCATCAACCCTTCCTTGAAGTGTCAAATTTGACAATGAACCCCTCCCACGTGTATGGCGCTATTGTGTGTCGCATGTGCAGCTCAGTGGTTCTGTTGGGGCGATAAATTCTTTATCTGTGAACATACTCTCAAAGCATGTCAAGTGTCCATGAGTATTTATCATATCGCAACCTGCATAGTTATTTGCATTTCAATATCCCCTACTTTTTTTGAAGAGCATATATATCCTAGATGTATATACAATATGTGTAGATAGTACATGTAGATGTATATACCCAATATATACAATATGTCTAGATGTAGATTTATATAATATACAATATGCTTAGATATAGTAGATGTATATACCAAAAATATAGAATATATGCCTAGATAGTAGATGTATATTATATACAATATGCCTAGATGTAGATGTGTATACCCAATATGCACATTTACCTATTTATATAGCAGATGTACATATTATAACAGCTATATTGTAACAAAATGACATAGATAATATATTTCTTTATGAAAGATGTACCAGTAATTTACTGTTGACTGGAGTTAAATAAAGACACCAGCCTGGTTCAAATACCACAATTCATATATAATCTGACACAGTAGTTATATGAATAAACACATCTGTTGAATTGCAATATATTATCTGATAACCCAAAACTTTATTTCTTTATAAAGTCCCATAAATAAACGCAAAATATTTAATATCATTAAAGAAATATTATACATGTATTAACATAGGCCCTATACAAAACATTTATTGCAAGTGAATTTAAATACAATATTGTATCGATAAAAAAGTACTATTTGCAACTTCTACAAAATAAATGAAAAGGAATATGGTTCAATGTCCAACTTTTCTGCCCCAAGTCAGTGCTAATGAAGACGGGCATACACCATGGAGTGTGATATGAGGGAAATTCTAACTGTCAGCAGTTCTTTTATGTGATACTGCCAATGAGAATACGGTTGACCCTCTTTTTTCATAGAATAAGAATGACTGGGAAATCTAATGCTAGGTTCCCACTATTACAATTATAACGCTACGATTGAAATTGTGGTTTTAATTGTGCAGTAATTATGGTGATCCTATCAGGTATTACAATATATTGTGGTTAGTCGTAGCAATACGTTGGGGTAATATGTTGAATATATCGAAATGTACCCCAACGTATCTGCACGGACCAGATTGTGTACTCAATGGGATCAATCCTATCGTAATACATCGCACGACACTGGGAACCTAGCATAAGGAATGTTCACCTTTGTTTATTGAACATGCCCCTGGTTACTGATGAGCCAAAATAATTGGCATCAAAAAAAAAAAAATCTTCAATAAAATTTAATGTCTGATAATTGTCATCAAAAATCCAAGACTTGTGAGTTACATATTGTAACAACAAATATTTTTTTGAACCACAGAAAATATACAACTGTTAACCACTACCATGGCAAAATGTTTCGGCAATATTTTCGCTGAATAACAGTTGTATTAGTTCAAATGACTTTCACTGAGGTAATGTTGAATATGTTAAGTATAGTAAATATATGAAATAAATTTACACATGTCAACATAGCTAATAAACAATCAAACAGTTAACATGTTTACATGGTGATCTATTGACACAGGTATTTACAGTTAAATTCAACATGATCTGTCTTTACCTCGTCACTAAATAGTTTATCATATGTAGAGGGTCACACTTATACATTCCATATTCAACGGAATAAACTAAGCACACATACAGGTATTCAAATAAACACATTAATATATTGGGTGAATACATAAATGTTGCGTAAAAATGAAAATAATAATATTGGGTATTCAAGTGAACATATTATAGTATTGGGTATTCAAATAAACACATTAGTATTGGGTATTCAAATGAACACATTAATAGTGGGTATTCAAAGGAACATATTAATATTGTTTTTTATCACAGATTTACACATTATAATGACAGTATAAGCATTTTTACCAAGAAAACACTTTATTTTATGATCAGTAGTGGAATACCGCGTTTTATCAGTGAAATAAAAGTGTTATTCCACTGGCTAGAAGCGGACAAAGTAGTCCATGTTGTTTTTACCTAAAATGATTGTAAAATCATTAAATAAATAGAACATTTGTCGTTTTGTCGTGAATAACATATTGTATTTCATCTCTAAGCAAGAAAACGTTTATATTTTCACTCATGCTACGCATTCGTGAAAATATAAGTTTTCTTGCTTCTCGATGAAATAAAATATGTTATTCACTCTAAAACGACAAATATCCTCTATTTATACTCATGAAAATTTAAACTAAAATATTCTAAGAAGTAGCCTTTTCATTGACTAATACTGAATTACTTTATACTCAAATTTTAACTCTCAACCAATAAAAAGATTGCATCCTCAAAATAATTTAGTTTAAGTGTCCATGAATAAGGCCCCCAATCTTATTAAATGGTACGTTAACATTGTGCTTAATCAAAACTGGTTTGTATTTGCTAATTGTCCAATAACTAGAGTTGATATACACAACCACTGGTTATATTTCATTACCTAAATGACCTCAATAAATTAAAACTTCATAACACCTGAGCCCTTTGCATATATATTGATCATAAACTGGTCATATTATCTCTAGGTTTATACATCTATCATGTGTCATATCAATGTATGTGGACCTATAAAATATTGTCATATTAAAGCCCCAACATGCCAAAATAAATTTTGCATTAAAGAATGATACTGTCCAGTCAAAAATATATGCAGATTTAATATGGCGGAATCTATAATATCTGGATCTAAGGAAACCTTACACAAATGCTGCCTTGACAATAATATAGAGGTGTAACAATGCCTTGCCAAAAATATATGAATTGAATACTGTTTAGTCAACAATACAAGAGGTACATGTACATGTATAGTAGGCCTACTGATCAGTTCCCTCTGAATGTTATACTTCCCAAAGTCCAAAGCCCTTTGATTGTAATACTCTGCTGTCAAACAAAAATCATTAGTATAGCAGGATTAGTATTGACAGGGGGCACCCCTCTGAAAAATCCTGATGAACTTCCCAGCCAACACCAGGATCGGACACGTACAGGACCTCCAGTCTAGCTAGCCAGCATCTTACTCACTGAGCAACAGTGGCTCCCTGGGCAGGATTTATAATACGAAAGGGGGCCCACAGAATTCATTAATAAATAATTATAAAATTTATCATTAAAACAAATGTGTGTGCAAGCGTCAGAAAATAGAATGATAGGGTGTGCAAAAAAACATCTGAGGTTTTGCAGTTCCACTATTCAAGCAGCAGCTTCTTCACTTTAATGTTATTCTTAAAATTGAGCAGAATAAAAACATTTATTCATTTTGTATTTGTCATGTAATATAATTTCTATTGATGGTTCCTCAAGCCTGGAGACCCCCCACACCCAACCCCAAACCCAATGTCTAAATCAATGCCTGAATATAACACATCTGAATGTAAAATAACATAATGTAATTTACTATTACTACTAAAAAGTGGCTCTGCCCTTGTTTAAATGAGCAAAAAATATGACAATAAACATAACTATTTTATTCTTCATCGATATAAAATACAAAGTGTTATTTCCTATCATGACATTATTACTATTAAAGCATTTTGTGTATTATTTGCACCAAGATAAAATGGCTAACCGCAAGATAACCATAATACACTGGGTAAGACGCTTACCTGTTCTTTGTGTTGAGATGGTTTCGCTTCTGTAGCAGACGACACAGCGACAACAACCAGGACAATACCCCACAAAAACATTTCCCCTCTCATCTTTCACAAATTATCTACCCATATATTCCAAAATACTACAATAAAAACATAGAACTATAAAAGACCTAGCCCGATTCTCGATCCTCGATCCTTTTATGGCAGTAATACTCTGGTTGTCATGTAAACGCACGCTCACAGCACGCTGTCAGCTTCTAAACGACAGAAGCAGTTTAAAGAGTCGAGACAGAGCGTTCTTTAGCATTCCATATTACTTGAAAGGAAATTTGAATGTTTATCCCAAACGTATGTTTTAATTAATCTTCACGATTATGTAATAATAACATCTTTTAGATAAATCTATGTAATTGATTTTTTATAATCGACAATGGCGACTTACCTATTAGGACTGAATTAGAATCGACCGATCTCCATAGTCCAACTACTGCCAATAGATGGCGTTCCGTTCAGTCATTATAAATGATAATAATAATAATAACTGATGTGTGTTCAATAAAGCGAGGGATGTTAATGGAACTATTGCTAATGATCATACACTGCGCATATTAATTCAATTTCTGGTGGACATTTTGCAACAATAGAAATATCGTGACCTTATAATTAGAGTAGAATTCAACTAATATACCTATTAATAATTAATGGACTCGTCCACAATGGCTCGATAATTTACCATGAATTATTCACTATACCATGCTCCCAATATTAACCAGTCGATCGGATATTGCACCATATTCATCGTTATATTACCCCCGGATAACCGATACATATGTAAACAACAAAGCTCGTTGATGACCTACTTGCATTTTACCGCCAAACATCCCCGATGAGTAATCGCGAGGGGACATAATGGCGCGCTAATTTGTATTCATGGACACGAATAAACTTCTCCTTTTTCTAAATCAGAAAGTTTTAGATTTCAGCTTTGTACATTTTAAAATGGTTATCATGGATATGTCTATTTTAAGAATAACATGACATATTTTTTTTGGGAGTAAAATATTCAACATATTCGTTTCAAATGACCATATTATGCAGGTAAATTTATATCCTAAGCAGGACCCAAATGAACAAAGAAATCTAATTATTTTCTTTTCGTAGATACAATTGTTGTAAGCCATTATATATAAAATAAAACAAAGCTATTAATATAAAGGGTAATATTGACGATTTATTAATGGGGAACAAAATTTCAAAATTATTTGTTTATACTGACACTGTTTGAATTGACATCAAAAGATGAAAACATCAAGCTTTTAACCTGGCCGGTCGCATTAAAATATTCGATAGGAAATGAACAAATTTTAACGTCTCGTCAACTTCATGGTAATTTTAATACTGACACACGGTTGGTTTCCTTTTTTTTTGGGGGGGGGGGGGTCACAGTTGTTGTTCTTAGTGTTTAACGTCCGCTTCCATCGAGGGTGATATCGCAGACAAGTTGTCTTATTTTCTTTTTTATTATCTTAGCGCACGCGCAGGGGTCTTTCCTGTGGGTGGAAACCGGAGTACCCGGAGTAAACATGCGGTTAAGAAGGCGCCCCTATCTCCATGCGCTCACACCAGAGATCGAAACCAAGACCGCAAGCTAGAGGTGACCGGCCATCGACACTTTAGACCACTGGGCCATCCCAACCCCCGGGTGTCACAGCAAGGGTACGAGCTTTTGTAATGTCGTCGCCGTGGGGGTCGTTCGATCCGCAGAATCGCAGGCCACATTGACGAGCGACCATATAGGTCGCGAGTAAACCAGCTGGGCGTCCGTGGAGCGTTGTAACCACCCCAGTGGCATATTGTTGCGATTTTAAAATTATTTTCTGTTAAAAATTTTAACGGCTCTAGTTTCAGTGGAAGTAATTCAACACATTCTGAGCCAATTTTCTGAGAAAAGTCTGCAGTGACTTCGGGGCCCCTTCTGAAAATAAAGTCATCATGACTAATATTATAGCGAGTCACACAGCTTCGTAAATATCTATCGCTCTATAGTTTGGCGATTTCGATGCCCCTGCTGAAAATTAAAGCCAACAACGTCTGCTAAAAATAACACCCCAAGTCACCACACCACTGCAAGTCTGGTGGGTGACGAACGAATTTGCCAGGACAGCGGCGTTTCCGACTACAAGTCATCGAGTTCCTACTGTCAATGTTCACGGTTCGTTGTTTGACCCATCTGAACGACTAGTCAAAACCTTACCTGTCAGCCCCGAGGTTTATCTCGACCCGCGCCTGAATTGGCGTTGAATCGTTTATTTTTAAATAAGAGCGAACCGCTGTTATTTTGTTAAAGTGATGAAAAGGGTTTGCATTTACATTTTCGGCTAGATTTTGCTAAATATTTTGGGTCGGGAGAATGTGTATCTTTGGATCGACAGTTTTATTTCAACCAAGTCGTCAAATTCAAGACTTAGTACATTTCATACAAACTGTAGTTACAGCTGGTCGCAGGGGCGGATCTAGGAATTTTGAAAAGGGGGGGGGGGCGCTGCAAAATGAAGGCATTGACCGCGGAGACGGGGCACGCCGCTGAGGGGGGGGGGGGGTCCCCAAGAAAATTATCCGTCATTTCCTTGCATCTGTAGCCATTCCAAGAGCTATTTCCCAGACTGGTGTGTTTGAGTCGATGGTTTGAGTCATTTGGGATCCCTACAACGGGTTGGTAACGGACATATTTGAGTCTGAGAAAAGGCACTTTCAGCAGTAAAAAAGGGCACTGTCGAAAATTAGGGGGGGGGCGCCGCTCGCGCCCCCCATTGAATCCGCCTCTGGGTCGAACCTAACATAGGCGCAAGTCGTGAAATAAATTGTAGTAATTACTAAGCATAAAACGGAGTTGCCTCCCTTTGATTGCTTTGTCATTAAATATTTTTGCAGCTTTTCAATATTTCAAAATACGTTACATACATATCAAAGAGAAGAAAATATACCAAGCTAGAAATGTTAATAACTATTTTAACGTGCCTTGGAGCACGCCCATGCTCTGATAAGCGAATATCGTGCTCTGAGAAATAAAAAGACGAAATGAAATGAAATGAAATGGCAATAAACTATAACACATACTTATGGAAGAACAATTACTGATTTATTTGGGCGACGTTTCGAAGAGTATTCTCTCAACGTTTTCAAGCAAGTACAGTAGCCTCTAAAAGATCGAAATGAAATGGGGTTTAACGTCCTACTGTTCTGCTCCTAACCTGGGCTAATGAAGACGGGCATACGCCATACAGTGTGCTATGAGGGAAATTTTGCCCGGGCAGCGGCGCTACGGCCTACTCTTATATCGAATTCCAACTGCCAAGGGATCTTTTACGTGCACGCCAATGTGTACACGGGACCTCGGTTTTTCGCCCCATCCGAACGACTAGACAGCTGTCCTTGTCAGGCCCTCCATCCTGCATCACTGACAAGGGTAAAACACGCCGGAAACTCTGGGTGAACTTTCTCGGCCAATGCAGGGATCGAACACCCGACCTCCAGGATAGCGAGCCAGCGTCTTACCCACTTAGCCACGTACTCACAGAAAGTTTAAATTTGGGCAAAAAGGTGCGCCGGGTATTACAGAAGAGAGGCCCATCATTACACCAAGTCCATATTGTTGGAATCTGAATTATGATTCGATGTTTTGTCGCTGTACGTCGCCACGAGCATGTGACCCATCTCTCCAAGTCTCTCATAAAATTCGAGCTTGGTCTCCAGTCTGGCATATTCGCCTTTTTTTTCACATCGCCCCCACCTGTGAATATTGTATTTTTTATTTCTTTTAATTCGAAATCTTCTTGATTTAACGGAATTTATTTTTTCCAGATACGCTCAATTTTAATATAATTTGTTTTTGTTTTTTTATAATTTTCACCCAAGTCAATTTTAATTTCCAACCAAGTTATATTAAAATTAACTTGGGTGGAAATTAAAATTGACTTGGGTGAAAATTTAAAAAAAAAATATATTAAAATTAACTTGGGTGGAAATTAAAATTGACGTGGGTGGAAAATAAAATTGACTTGGGTGAAAATTATAAAAAAATTGTTCGAATTTCTAAATTTTTCTGTTTATTTTTCTTATCTATGAGTTCTTCAAACGCATTTCATTTTGTTTTGGCGGTATTAGGATCAGCTGTTTTGGAATCATATATGTGTTCTGTACGTCCTGGTTGTGGTATAACTTGTCCTAACCTAGCTTTCGGGATTAAGGTTAATGTCGAAACCTAGATACTCTGTAGGACAATACGATGGACGACTGGCTGCAGCGTTATACAATTTCATTCTAGCGGCATTGATTAGTGATTTCACCTCTCGGTTGTCTGTTACACGTCGCAGACGATACGTAAAATTATCTTTAGATTCGGTTGTATAATAGGGTCCTTCCAGGGGCGGATTCAGGGGGAGGGGGGTCGACTCCCCCCCACCCCCGCTCAGCTACATTTTTTTTTGTAAATCAACACTTTTTATGAGATAAGTTTCTCGTCAGGTGTGGGACAAGATGGGCACTCAAAGCACGAGATAATGATATAGACATTACGTGATATCACAAGTAATGCTTTGCATCCCTGAAATTGAATCACAATGTCATTGTATTAATTCATAACAAAAATTGACGTCAAACGAGGTGTTAAATTTCTCTGTTAAAAAGCTCAATGTGTATGTATGTACGCCAAAATGACGATAGAGACCATGCGGGAGGAGGGGGGAGGGATACATTGTCTCAGGAACCTGGCAAACCCCCTCCTGCAAAAATTCCTGCACCCGTCCCTGTTTGTAGGAATGTATGATTTTATAGATTGAACACTTGTTTGCGATATCACTGTCGGTGGAAAAGAACACTATACCTATGATGTTTCAGCCGGCTTATCTAAAGTATTTCTTTAAACATAGTAAAGTTTGAAATATGTCGGTTTTCACTCTTAAGAATGTTTTTGTAAACAAGTCTTTAGTGTAGTTCCGGTGACGTATTCCCAATAAGCGTTAATGTTGTGGGGGGGGGGGAATAATTTCTTTTCAAATTTTGCAAACACAACCAGGATATAGAAGCGAAATGTGCCGAAAAACGAATTTGATAAAAGTCTGTAATACCTCAGTCAGATTGGTTTAGAAAATTAAAAGTTTTAAGTGGCTGAATCAATAAAAAAAAAGTTATTTCAGTAGGCTGCTCCTGTGGTCAAAGGGAGTCTGTTCTAGGATATAGAGTATTGAACCCACTCAATTTATATTATTGATATACACTTGTAAGATCCTGGGATGTGAGTGTGTGTGTGTACTCGGTTGTTGGTGTTGACCATACACAAAGTCCCCATTTGTCGGTATTAAAACATAATGCGTCCCCGGTTGATCACATTAATAAATGACTGTTATATCGCGATAGTGTGCCATACATCAATTTTAAACAGTTATATAATTCATTTTTTCCCATGTGTGGTCAAGGAGGGGAGACAACGTAGTTATTTACGGGTTAAAGACCACAATCAGTGTCAAGTCCACAGTATGATATTATAGAGCAAATGACATCGTTTGGCAGCGTTCCCAACTTACACCATGCATGTCCTCGATTGGGCGTAACTAGCATAGGGACTCGGTCGGTCGTATTTCCCCAATTATTTGCAAACTCCTGTGTGTCCGCATGTCTTCTGTAAAAAGTCAAATGCCATGGAAAACGCATCACTTTTTTTTCCCAAATATTTTATTACTAAGTGGTTTTGTATGTATAATATTATGCAATACTATGAACTATTGTTTCACACAATGCTCCCAAACGCAAAAAATATCGGCCCGTGTGCGCAAAAACAAATTGCACGAGATGCACATGAAAAACTCAATATTCACGTGCAGCCATTGTGTGTGAGCCCTTTAAAAGCATGTTTTCAACTTAATGTGCAGTACATGAACTGTGAAACGTCAATCTGTCGTTTCGATCCCTGCATTGGTCGAGAAAGTTCACCCCGATTTTCCGGCGTAGTTTCCCCTTGTCAGTGGTGCAGAACGGAGGGCCTGACAAGGACAGCTGTCTAGTCCTTCGGATGTATAGATTGGAATGCACGTAAAAGATCCCTTGGCAGTTGGAATTCGGTATAAGAGTAGGCGATAGTGCCGCTGCCCGGGCAAAATTTCCCTCATAGCACACTGTATGGCGTATGCCCGTCTTCGTTAGCCCAGTTTAGGAGAAGAACAGTAGGACGTTAAACCCCATTTCATCTCATTTCATTTCATTTGTCAATCTGTCGTAATTTGTTGTTGGACGTGTGAAGGAATCGAGCTAGAGATGCCGAGACTTACTGAAAATCAACGGAATGAAGCCATGGGAATGTCCAGGGCTGGCATGTCTACACGTGCTATTGCCAGACACTTCAATTGTCATCAGTCCACTATTGTAAGGTTGGTGGAACGTGTTCGAGTTACTGGATCAACACGTGACCGTCAACGTCCTGTTCCACAACGCGTTACAACCCAGGCTCAAGACAGCTACACCCGGGTCACTCATCTGCGTGACAGATTCCGCCCAGCGACTCGAACAGGTGCAACAGTCTTCGGAAGACAAGGACCAGTAAGTGCCAACACCGTAAGACGTCGTCTAAGACAAGTAAGACTCCCTGCACGACGATCTTATGTTGGAGCTATCCTCAGGGATCATCACCGTCAGCGGCGTTTGATATGGGCTCAAGGACACCAGACATGAAGAAGAGTACACTGGCAAAGTGTGCTCTTCGGTGATGAGAGTCGCTTTCATCTTTATCACGCTGATGGCCGTCAACGTGTGTGGAGACGTCTTGGGGAACTGCTGCGTCTTCGAAACGAATCGATGGGGTGGGGGAAGTGTAATGGTGTGGGGAGGCTTCACATTTCATCACCGGACCGCCCTACACATTTGTAGGGGTCGCGTTAATGTTGTAGCCTACCGTGATGATGTCTTGCAACCAATTGTTGTTCCTATGTTTCGAGCGCACCCACAACTTCAGCACTCCAACAGGATAATGCACGCCCGCATACCGCCCGTTCCATGTCTCCGGACATGGCACCGATAGAACATGTCTGGGATGAGATTGGACGCCGTCTGTATCGGAGACCACAGATGCACACCATTGCTGCTTTAGAAGCTGCTCTTGTCCAAGAATGGAACAATTTGCCCCAGGCCTTCTTTCAAACATTGGTAAATTTCATGCGACGTCGCTGCACAGCGTGCGTAAGAGCCCGTGGAGGACACACGCGCTACTGACATCTGTGTCGTACTTTTGGTTTTGACCCCTCTGACTTTGTACCGTTGATTACAGATTAGACATCCATAAGTGTACAAATGTGTTGTTATTGATGTGTTCCCATTTGAATATTGTTCACAATAAGAAGCAAAATAAATAAGATAATGTTTACAGGATCATTTTATTTATACGAAAAACTAAGTGATGCGTTTTCCATGGCGCTCAGTATATAAATTGGGGTATAATTTATATCTTTTCATAATCGTTTGATGTAATAGAGTTCAGAAATAACTGTGCTTTCCAGCTACACGCTATATTTATCAAGACCCCGATTAGGAGGAACCAGTCAAAATCCTCGATTTACACCATATACATGTGTGTGTGTGTGTGTGTGTGTGTGTGGTTGTGTGTATGGGTGTGTGTGTGGTTCGCCTACAGGCCGCAATTCTTAACTGATCATCTTGAAACTTTACATACTTATTTTGTATACCATAAGGATGATCCCTATTGTTTTTTGTGCATGCCCGACCCCCAGGGGCAGAGCCACACCCATTTATTTTATTTGTCGTCTACAGGCCGCATTTCTTAACGTATCAACTTATTCCTTATACCCTAAATGCCCAACCCCCAGGGGCAGAGCCAAGCCCATTTTCTTTCTGTATGTCTGTGTGTCGGCTACAGGCCGCAATTCTTAATCGATTGTCTTGAAAACTTTTCATACTTATTCCTCATGCCCTAAGGATGACCTCTATGTTTTCTTTGTGTGTCTGTGTATTGCCTACAGGCCACAATTCTTAATATATATTCTTTATAGCCTAAGGACGGCAACTATAATTGATGCATGTCCAGAGCCCCGCTCAATTTTTGTCTTTATGTTATACAGGTCACAATAATTCTGAAGGGATCAGCTTGGAATTTGGCACATGTATTCCTCATAGCCTAAGAGTGGCAACTGTCGATGTTGGTGCATGTCCCGACTCGCAGGGGCAGAGCCACGCACAATTTATGTGTTTAGCGCCCGAAGGCCACAATTCTGAATGGATTATCTTGGAACTTGGTATGCTTATTCCTTATACCCTGAGGATGTCAACTATTGATTTTGGTGCACGACCCCCCCCCCCTTCCGTCCACACACACACACACCCACCTTTGGGTGCTGATCCGCCCACTTTTGCTAATATTTTGTCTGTAAATGTTATATAGGCTGCAATTATTAACAGATTTGGATCCAATTCGTAATGATCCATCATAGGGATGTACCTATTTATTTTGGTCCATGTCCAACCCTCAGGGGCAGAGCCACGCCCAATTTTTGAGTTTTTTGTCTACAGGCTCAATTCAGAATGTGTCAGCGTGGAACTTGGCGTATTTATTCCGGTAAGGATAGCAACTATTTATTTTGGTACATGTCCTGACCCCCAAGGGCGTGGTACCACACTCACTTTTTTGTCTGTAAATACTCTACAGGTCGCTATAATTAACCGATTTTGTTCAAATTCAGCATATCAATCATTTCAATAACAGGATGGTACCTACTTATATTGTCCAAATCCAACCCCCAGGGGCAGAGCCGTGCCCAATTTTTGTAGCGATGCTCTAGTTTGTACTTACGGGATTTCCAATTTCAAAATATGGACACATGCTGATGTATGTGTTTATCCTGCATAATTACAAATTGCATATAGTACTTTATTTCCAAATTGAAATTGTGGATAAACTATACAAGCTATAAAAGCTAGCCAATGACATTGATAACTGGAAAATTAAACACAGATATGCAATGAATTACCACTGCGATAGATAGTAATCCCTGACATTACATTGTGAATGCTAGCGAGAATATTTAAATGGAAGTAACAAAAGTGAAACGTTTTCGATAAAAAAGGGTGGTGATTTAATTACATAGTAATGAAAAGACCAATAATTAATAACAATTCTAAAATCGAAGTAAAAAATAAAAAGACATGCTTTCTGTGCAGAATTTAAAAAAAACGTCCAATGTTCGTCACAAATTCTATAACAAAATAAAATCCAACTTTTTCTGTAAAAAATCATAAATAAATAACAAGCGTAACAAAATATATTTAAATATATATTATAACTTTACTGAGACATTATGGGAGATTAGATAAAGAGCGGACAGTCCTCACTATAATAGTTAAAAACTAGATACTGTAAAGGGGACTTGCTGAAAATTTCAGTCAAATTGATCCACTATGAACCGAGATTTTAGCGATTGAATTTTCGACCTAGCCTCGATCATCATTACTCAAGTCGGTAGGATAAAAACATAGTCTCGATTATCCATTTCATGATTTAATTATGAATGGAAGTCGAACAGCAAATCGGAACCTAATCCAATAAACATCACAGCCTAGCGATGCCATCAAGCGTTGATTATGGTCTGTATAAGTTAATTGATGTCTAATTAATAATTTAGATAACATTTCAGGCCTAAAGAAAGAGCTGCACCAGGCAGATTTAGCTCTTGCATAATGTATGTTTAAAGCACGGTATAAACAAAACAGCACCACCTTTAAGTGTTGGGTAAAATCTGTTGACGGACATCATGTTAATCCGATTGAATCCAAGCTGGCTTGATACTTTGGTTTTGTTTTCTTAAACATGCTTTATGCAAGAGCTAAATCTGCCTATTGCAGCTCTTTTTTTAGGCCTGAAATGTTTTCTAAATTATTAATTAAACATTAATTAACTTATCCAGGCCATAATCAACTCTAGATGACAACGTATTTCTCCGATATTAAATAGATTAGAACAGTTCAGCCATATTTTGATTTAAAGATACAATACCGCGTACAAACTGGGTGATCTGATGATATAATATTTGGACTAAAAACATATTCAAACTAATTAATTTATCATAATTTTTCTTCAAATCCTTCTCAAAACATTGTAATTGCCAAGGAATACCCTGCTATAAAAATCGATCAAAAGAGGTCATGTGTTTGTCACTTGGCTTACCTCTCTCGCTACCTATAACCAAGGGGGCGAAGTCGGAGGTGAATTCATTGCATACACAAGGCGATGTTGCCTTTAATCGCTTACTATTTATTACAAATATCGAATCCTAATTAAATTCTCGGATTATCCACTGCCCGCGTCTTTTTCCGTGATTTTTATCTGAGAAAGTGTTGTACGTCTTACTCTTCAACATGTACATCAAGCGCTCAATCTTCGCGTGCAACCTTCGACGTCACGCGTGCAGGTATTCCTAATCGTCGGGCTGTCGATTAGGGGAACCCTTACATTTTTGTCCTGTATACGCTCCATGAGTCTTTTTCAGGGAATCCGGTATTTTTCTAGTAAGATTGGATATCTCTACTTTCCATATATACCAAAATTGCCATATTTTTATTGGAAATAACCACCCGATAAATACTTTTCTGGGAACCTATCTTTAAGCTAAAATTGGAGGAGCGAGACTTAGTTTCGAACAACCAGTACGGTGGTTGAAATTATTGCACACTTCTTGTCAAACCTTCAAAGACTAATTTCTTCGCTCGCGATAGAGTAATTTGAATGAAATTTTCAAATTATTCATTTTACATTATCTATTTTCGAACTATTATAGCAAGAATGGCTAGCTCTTTATCTAAATATTACATACCTTTCAGCGTGGATTAAGCTGGGACAAAGTGGACATTATCCAGTATTTTTTTTTTATTTATCAAATCTCAGTTATGCTGGGTTGCTTTACAATAGTATGTGTACTATTGTAAAAGCTAAAATTCTCTGGTTATAAGTCTTAAAATGGAAACAAACACTGTATTAGATGTATGGCAAGTTTATATTATATGTAATTCATGATCATATTTATACAAGACAATTAAACATATAATTACATAAAATAAGGTATTAGTAATATATATACTAATATTAAACATATAATTAAAATAAAATGACATATTAATATTTACATAAGTTGGGGGTGGGTGTAAGAGCTTTCTTACTCGCTGGTGTGTAGAGGCACTATTTCGTCTATGGGACGCCTATCTTTAAATTATAAAACTACACACTTTGGACAGAGTGCATCGATAGTTTTAAAAACAAATAATATACAAAATATACGCTCACCTTAAAATGGAAACAAACACTGTATTAGATGTATAGCAAGTTTATGAGGAGTCTACCAGATGTCTTCCCTTTTATATCTACATTATGTATTCCTAGCAACTAGTTTATAGCAACCAATTTAGTTAAATAACCTTGTAAAAGTCATGTCATGATCTAAATGTATAAATAATGAATTACACCAACCATATAGTTAGCGTTGATGTTATACATATATATACAATTTCACACACCGTCTTTTTTATATTATTATTAGCATACTTATCCAGCAAGGAAGTTACTCATATTCATTTAATTCGTGCAAACCAGTGAGGTGTTACGATAGAAATAGAAGATTTTAATACAACCGTCTTAATGCTAGCTTCCCACTACATGTATCACGATTCGCGACAGGAAAACGCGTATTCGGCCGACAAATTTTCCAAATTTGCATTTGGAGGGGGGGGGGGCTACACGGCAAGCTCCGCTCCTACGCTTCTCGCAGACAACTGGCACCGCCGTTTGTAACCCGAATTTTAGGTACCGGTACTTCCCAAACCCACTCTCCAACATTCATCAAGCCCGTACGCCAAATTCTAGTTATCCCATTTCTGAAAGATGTCACTGGTACACGGGCAGGTGTTAAAAAGGCGAGGATCAAAGAGAGGTCCAGTAATCAGTTTTCGTTTCTTGTCGTCAGTTTAGGCCAATCCAACCTGGATAAAAGAAATCAGAGTAATCAGAACTAAAATGTTTCCGTAAAGGCGAACCGTCTCGCGCGGGATATTTATAATATAGAGTTGTTCCCCCTGCTAAAAATGCCGACCACCACCCATATGTCCCGACAGTTGTGATACTGTGATTACACGAGGCTAGTAAAACCAAGTCTAAATTAGGATCCGTATTTGAACTATAAAATATATTGTTCCCATAGAAGTTTGATTTTGCCCACGGCACATCGTTTGAGGCGAATATAAAAACGGTTTGCTGGAACTTTCGTCTCATAAAATCCATTGCTTTATGTACGTAGTCAGGACCCGGTAACACATACCCGTACTTTTTATAATAGTCATCTAACATATCCCCACGGCGAACATGAACACCTATAAACGTAATCTGTGTGTTTGTCGTCGTCGATATTGTTGTGTAATGTCTGGCCACGTCTGTTAAAAACTGATTAGCGGAGTCTTTTAAAGATTGTCTAAATCTGAACATCCGTTTAATATCTTGCTCATACTTATAGAAATACTTGTATGATTGCAAGTACTCGCCTATTTGGTAGTTTATATTGGCAGGTATATTTAACATATCTTCATCATAAGCACAGTCATATGTAGAAACCTTCTTAGGTACACAATGACAGAGAGTTCGACTTAATTGTGTAATATCAAGATTGAACAGATTATTTAAGGTATTGCTTTCCATTAACATTATTCTGTTTGTGGATCTGGCGATACCGTAAGCTGATGCATAAAGAAACATTTGATTTCCTATACCACCCGTCAGTATCGGACATATATAAAACTTCTCTCCATCACTTGTTTTTATCGGTGTGAATCTCATTTTTTCATCTCTAAGACTATCGGTTATACACGGAAAGAGTAACAGAAAAATGAATGGACAGGTTACAATGGCTGCCAACACCAATATTGCTTTTGTTGATTTCTGACCTGCAACAGAAAAAATGACAACGTGTATGGCATTTTGAATTTGTAACTAGGTTATGTGGATGGACAATATGTGGAAAAACTCTTTTAAAAATGATATTAAACTGTGACTAAGTATAATGTTCGAAGTCTATTAAGTCCATGTTCGTGTAAGCGCGATTACGGGTCTGAAACAGAGAGGTTCTAATCACAGGAAATACTCTATCAGTAGATATGGATTCAGACAAGCAATTATTTTCCCATTGACTTCAATGTTAGCTTAAAAGTTCCGTTGGTTCCAATCTTTATAGGCACATAGGAGATCGCATTTAGCACTCTCCTCATCATAATTTTGTAGGGGCTTGACCGTTTAGATTTTTGGCTAGGAGGATGGTTAGTGCTAAATGATAAGACCAGCTCAATTTTTCGTCATAGTTCACGAAATGATAAGGTCAACTTCAAGTTTGGTCAAAGAATACGAGATGTATCCAGGGCTAGCGCTAATCCCAACCCTAACCCAAGACCTAACGCTTACCCTAACACTAACCTCCAATCTCGCCAACAATCACATTCCTTAACCTTACTTACATCCCAGCGACCTTGACCAAGATTAAGTTGGCCTTAACAAACAGATCTAGCCCAATACTACCTTAAACTGCTATGAAATTGCAAATGGAGTCTACTATGGCGGTTTAAAAATTTCCCCGCGTTGGTCACCCTGGATAAAATATATAGGCCACCTCTAACAGCTACAGTATGGACAAAGCGATTTGTTTGTAATAAGGAAAGTCGCTCAAACCCACAAGATGCCGAGGAACTTTTCGTATAAGTGATATTAAGTGGCAGGATTTTACTAGTTATCCTACATGTGATCTAATCAATGTTGTGGCATACATCATGTTCAATCATCTTACTTTAGTGATTTATTTACCCACAAGTAATATAATGCTGCCAGTTATATAAGACGATCATAGTTAACAAGGCGGATCCAGGATAGTTTGCAGGAGAGGCTTGCCGGGGTCGAGTTAAGGAAATTTGACAGTTGACATTACATGGTGCCATAATACTCTCCAATTTACGTAGGCATACATACACACTGAGCTGTTTAAAGAGAGAAATCCAACACTCCGTTTGACGTCAGTTTTTGTTATGATTTAATAGGATCACATTGTGATTCAGTTTCAATGATGCGAAGCTTTAATCACATTATGTTTATATCATTATTTCGCGCTTTGAATGTCCATCCCATCCCGCCGTCTGATGATACAGGACAAAACACACGGCCGTAACACTTTTGCTCATAAAAGTGTTGTTTTAAAAATATATATGTAGGTGAGCAGACCTACTCTGGCCCCGCCTCTGGTTAAATAAGTTTAAATCTGTCACATATCAATCATCTACGTGATTAAAATAGATGTAAGATTTTAAACAGTACACACATAAAATATAAAGGTAGACATGCAGGATTGAGGGCGTGTATGATTTAGATGGTCGTTAGTCGTTACTCAAGCGAATATAAATAAAAAATATATTTAAATAACACACAATTTATATAACAATTATTATGGTTTATTTCACGGTGACGTTTCAACAAGATTTTACAAGTCGTTATCAAGCATATATCAACATAAATTAATGAAATGATGAATCCAAGAAATGAAATGAGGTTTAACGTTCTGCTGTTCTGCTCCGAACTGGGCTAATAAAGACGGGTATATGCCATACAGTGTGCTATGAGGGAAATTTTGCCCGGACAGCGACACTACGGCCTACTCTTATATTGAATTCCAACTGTCAAGGGATCTTTTACGTGCACGCCAATGTGTACACGGGACCTCTGTTTTTCGTCCCATCCGAACGACTAGCCAGCTTCTTACCCACTTAGCCACCGTGATCCCCCGAATCCAAGAAAAATATACATGTATGGTTATATGTATTTATCACCCAATAATACATTCTACAGTAGATATCGCTTGTGTGATAAATTTCATAATCTACTACGATATCTCCTTAGGAGATATTGCTTTGCATGAATTTGATTGGCGAGTTAAAAAGAACTAATATTTTGTATTTTTAAAGAACAGTTCATTTTTTTTATATTAAAAGTAACTTCTTTTTTTCATTAAAAATGAATTACTTTTATTTAATTGACCTTGATGGAAACACTGGGTCAATATACAGGACTTTGATAAACATTAATCCCAACAAGTTTCGTCGTACAGCTCTTTTTCGAATCCAAATTTTACTGTTGTATGTTCCTTCTCATCGTCTGAATTTAGGCAACGTTTATTGTACACACATAAAATATGACCTACTCACCTCGTGGGCAGAAAGTCTTCATTATTAAATATTGTTGTCACTGATATCTTGAAGTCTATACTGTCTTAAACGTTCTGCAATGGTTATAAATATAAACTTTATATTATCATGGCTATCCCACCCTATCACGGCAGATTAAACTAAGGCGTCCAAATACTTTGGTCATGGTTGATGACTATAGTTTAAGGATATAGGCCATCAAGATACATATTCAAACATTGCACACAGGACTTGAGATTTATGAGATACTCATACTTATCTTAGACATATGAGCTGTATTGTTTACAAAGGACATAAAATTATATTATAGGTATATGAGACTACGAAAAAAGCGGATATATCTTCATTAAATTCAAGATCAATGATCTCCTACATCTGTGTTCGTATACTTTCTTTATCAGTGAAATATACCGTCGATGTATTACAATGCTACATGTATAACCTGTTCTATTGTATGATAATCCTGTATGTAATTAAGTCTATAATTTAAAAAGTAATTAATCCAGTATTGTAAACACCCAAACCTGTAGAATATTCGTATCATCCCAAAACTTAGACAGCCATATCTTAGACACCTTAAAAAAAAACACAAAAAAAAACAATCACATTTATGGTTGGGTGCACAGCATACTGAGACCGGGTCCTGTTACCTTTGCTAAATAATAGAACAGTCCAACAGAAATAAAAGATATATCATTTATTGGTAGGCGTATTGTTGATAAAATCGCATAATAGCAAAATTGACATGATTCGCACTGACATACTTATGGACATAATATTTTGACCGAGCGGAATCTCTCACCCGTATTCCCACATTGATTAGCAATGAATATTCTCTAGTCCACTACAATCACTGATATGGATGACCCAAATGCCCTCAGATCACTAATGATTTCCCCATTGACTTTAATGTAAATTCTCGTCTCTTAGACCGGCTCTAACTTTTTCCCAAAGTTTTGTAGGGCAGAATGCTGTCTACCACAGATAGAGCAACATATATATGTGGCAACCTCTTGCCCAAAAGCACGTATGAGGTTCTTCGTCAATCTGATTAAAATACAGATCTATATTTCGTTTCGTTTTTTTATACTTTCGATGGCCTACACTACATGAAGATCTGACAAGTTATAGCCATAGGTCACGTCAGGGGTCAAAAGACCGACTTACATGTATGACCCTATGACGTCAGACATTTGATTAACCAATCAGCATTGATGTTACTGGTGGATTACCCACAGTTCCGTGCAAAACACGCCTAAAGCTCGCTGTAACAGACTGTTTCATTGGCTTATCCCTGACACCATTCAGAACACGAGTTAAATAACAACTCTTCCAGATTCAAGTGTAGTAAAGACAAGTAAAACGAAATTTTGAACTATAAAAACGAAACGAAATAGGATCTGTGTTTTAACCAGATTGGTTCTTTGTGAAAAACTTGAGATACACAAACTGGATGTAGAGACAATAAAAACATGCAATTTTCGGCCCTGCATTTCAACCTAACCAAATCTCAATTTAAAAATCCTTCCACCTCAAAATCAAGAATATTCACCAAAACCTGACAGAAAATGTATTTTCAAACCCTTTTCTTTGATTCTGCACCAAAAAGTCAACAAAAATCGTCATGGAAAAGGGAAAGGGAGAGAAAGACTAAAAATAACTTTCTCGGGTGACCGCGTCCAAATATTAACTTTTTTCCTCCAACAAATTAAATTCTAAAATATGTATTAGAAAAATAAATAAAGACGTTGGAAGTATTTGTAGGTAAACCAGCGGCTGCCAGGCAGGAAACGCCCACATTTTTGAGAGATGGATAGAAAACAAGCTAAAACGAAAGTGATTTTTCCTACAATCAAGGGCCATAATTCCGGAAATTACAATTCGATATGCGCAAATATCAAAAGGAACCAAGATCTTTGGGTTATAAACTTACATTTCAAGTTTCAACAAAATTGGATAAAAATTGTGACCTCTGTAGGGTCCACAACCTTGATATACCATATTTTTACGCAATTTCAGAACGAGGGGCGGCCATTTTGTCTGTCAGTTTTGGGCTGATTTTCATGAAATTCGAACTCAGCCGTCCTTAGGGTGCAACGTTAATATAATAATACGTTTTTTTAAATCGGATAAAAATTATGACCTCTATAGGGTCCACAAGCTAAGAACGCGATTTTTCGAACAATCAGGGGCCATAATTCAGGAAGTTACGGTCCGATATGCGTGAATATCGAAAGGAACCGAGATCTTTGGATTTAAACTTACATTTCAAGTTTCAACAAAATCGGATAGAAATTGTGACCTCTATAGGGTCCACAACCTTGATATACCATATTTTTACGCTATTTGAGAAGATGGGCGGCCATTTTGTCTGTCAGTTTTGGGCCGATTTTCACGAATTCAAACTCAGCCATCCTTAGGGTTTAACGGTGATATAATAATACGTTTTTTTAAATCGGATAAAAATTATGACCTCTATAGGGTCCACAAGCTAAAAACGCGATTTTTCGTACAATCAGGGGCCATAATTCAGGAAGTTAAAGGTACGATATGCGCGAATATCGAAAGGAACCGAGATCATTGGGGTATAAACTTACATTTCAAGTTTCAACAAAATCGGATAAAAATTGTGACCTCTATAGGGTCCACAACCTTGATATACCATATTTTTACGCTATTTGAGAACAAACGGCGGCCATTTTGTCTGTCTGTTTTGGGCAGATTTTCACGAAATTCGAACTCAGCCATCCTTAGGATGTAACAGTGATATAATAATATGATTTTTTAAATCAAATAAAAATTATGACCTCTATTGGGTCCACAAGCTAAAAACGTGATTTTTCATACAATCAGGGGCCATAATTCAGGAAGTTACAGTCCGATATGGGCCAATATCGAAAGGAGCGGAGATCTTTGGGTTATAAACTTACATTTCAAGTTTCAACAAAATCGGATAAAAATTGTGACCTCTATAGGGTCCACAACCTTGATATACCATATTTTTACGCCATTTGAGAACAAACGGCGGCCATTTTGTCTGTCAGTTTTGGGCAGATTTTCACGAAATTTGAACTCAGTCGTCCTTAGGGTGTAACGGTGATATAATAATACGATTTTTTAAATCTGATAAAAATTATGACCTCTATAGGTTCCACAAGCTAAAAACGCGATTTTTCGTACAATCAGGGGCCATAATTCAAGAAGTTACGTACCGATATGCGCAAATATTGAAAGGAACCAAGATCTTTGGGTTATAAACTTACATTTCAAGTTTCAATAAAACCGGATAAAAATTGTGACCTCTATAGGGTCCACAACCTTGATATACCATATTTTTACGCTATTTGAGAACGAACGGCGGCCATTTTGTCTTCCAGTTTTTGACCGGTTTTCACGAAATTCATACTCAATCATCCTTATGGTGTAACGGTGATATAATAATATGTTTTTTTAAATCGGATAAAAATTATGACCTCTATAGGGTCCACAAGCTAAAAACGCAATTTTTCGTACAATCGGGGGCCATAATTCAGGAAGTTACGTTCCGATATGCACAAATATCGAAAGGAACCGAGATCTTTGGGTTATAAGCATACATTTCAAGTTTAAACCAAATCGGATAAAAATTGTGACCTCTACAGTGTTCACAAGCTAAAAACGTGATTTTTCGTGCAATCAGGGGCCATAATCCATGAAGTTACGGTCCGATACATGCCAATATCGAAAGGAACCGAGATCTTATGGTGATAAACCTATATTTCAAGTTTCATTGAAATCGGATAAAAATTGTGATAGACTGTTCACAAACAATTGTGGACGGACGGACGGACAGGGGCGACAACAATATACGTCCACATGTCATGTGGACGTATAAAAATATTTCCTATTCAGTGTAAATTTATGGATATTAAAATGAGTAAATGGCACCATTCTGCCCGAACCAGCAACGTCTTATGTAAACGTCACGCCATTGAGCTAATGAATAACGCCCCATCATGTGACGTCACATGTTGAAAATAGTCATATTAGCACCCCCGAAGTTAGCAAACATATTCCTAGCGCCAATAAAAACTTATATATTATAATTATCACGTAAATAATAAATAATTGTTACCTTTATATTAGAAAATAACATTTTAAGACATACCGGTATTAATGCAAAGTTATTAGGTTTTTAGAAAGAAAATACTACTTTCATCTTAGCTAGGGCTTTCACCCACTACGGGGATCATCAGGCATTTAATAATGAGATAGTAAACAATTACTTGACGTCATGGCATTATTAAATAATTCATGACAATAATAATATCCAATATAAATATTTTAGAATATCAAATTACAATATAAAATTATGCAGCATTTAGTTTAGATTGATTCTTGTTAATAAAATGTGTTCTTTATTTTCTAGCAAATTATTATCGGACCAGTGAGTGTATATAAGAGGAAAACCCTAAATTTTCCCTTTCCACATGTATCTAAATGTTCACTTAGTAGAATCATGACAATAATAATATCCAATATAAATATTTTAGAATATCAAATTACAATATAAAATTATGCAGCATTTAGTTAAGATTGATATTTGTTAATAAAATGTGTTCTTTATTTTCTAGCAAATTATTATCGGACCAGTGAGTGTATATATAAGAGGAATACCCTAAATTTTCCCTTTCCAAATGTATCTAAATGTTCACTTAGTGGAATCATTCTATTATTGGGATTAGCGATGTGGGATCTGTGTAGGTTCATCCTTATGCTGAATTATGATTCAGTTTTGCCTAAATACTCTTCATTACAACCTGGACATATTAGCAAATATATACTCAGCCAAATTAAAAACTTGACACTCGGGATTTTTGGGACTAGATTTTTAATATTTGGTTTAATGCAACTATTTTATTTAGTGTTATGTTGTGCACAGACGACCTTGACATCAACAGAAAGCAAGAATACGTCTCGCCGAAAGTCCTTGACATTGATAACGTTCGTTATGTCACAGTACCCCCCAAAATGAAATTCACAGACTTGGAGAACAATCAGAATAAAGTGTTTAGTACCGGTTGTGGCCTCCTCTAGCGTCTCGTACTGCCACACAACGTCTTCTCATGGATCTCAGAACATTAGTAAACACTACCCGAGGAAGACGTCGCCACTGCTCAGCAAGAGCATGTTGAAGGTCCTGCAATGTCAGTGGTGGATTCACTTGCTGACGAACACGTCGACCCAGTTCTTCCCAGATGTGTTCAATAGGATTAAGGTCGGGGCTAAGCGACGGCCAATCCAGGACTTGGACACCGGCATTTCTTAAAAAATTCTGGGTAGCAATTGCTGTATGGGGTCGAGCATTGTCTTGTTGATCCCTGTACTGGACAGCATTTAAGTTCCCTTGGACAACAAGAGGAGAACGTCCATGTGCACAAAAAGAACCCCAAACCATGACGCTGCCGCCACCAAATCAGTCAACTTCTCTGACGCATACTTGAGCGTAACATTCACCTCGTCTGCGGTACACTCAGGCCCTGCCATCGGCAAATCTCAAAGTGAATCGAGATTCGTCACTAAAGACAACCGAATTCCACTGTCTTTGAGTAAATCTTATGTGTCTTGTGGCCCACACAAGTCAGTGTCCATATTGGTCCATTATAGGGCCTCCGAGCTCGAAGACCAGCAGCCTGCAAGCGATTTCGAACAGTTTGTGCAGTTACCCTTCCACCAAACATCTCTCTACTTGTGGGGGTTGCAGTGACAAATCTGTTTCTAAGATGACGTAATCGTAATGCTTGATCTTCCTGGAGTGACGTCACACGTGGCGCTCCCGCCCTTGGGCGGTCGGCAATAGTTCCAGTTTGAAGCACTCTCATTTTAAGATTAATTATTGTCTGGCGTGAACAATTAAAGGCTCTTGCAACAGTGACCACAGACTGACCAGCATAGAGCCTACCTATAGCACGTAGACGTTCTACATTTGATAGGCGCGGCATTTTCTAACAAAGATGAAAATAACAATTTTAAGTTGTTTTTCCAGTTCAAGTTACGTGTGCGTGTTCAGTTTAAGCAAACTTGCATCGATTGACCTCACGAGTTTGTGTTTGCACATGTTTTTCATCTTTATATGCTCAAAAGTCACGTGATCCACGTGACTTTACAATTTTATGAAATTAAAGGCTTCTTACTACTTACTATCGTTAGAAACACTTTAAAATTCATTTGACTTACCAGAAAAAAAAATTTGTTGAAATTCACCAGTGTCAAGTTTTTAATTTGGCTGAGTATATAAAATTTTTACTTTTACAGGTCATAGATTGATTTACTTTAAAATTTACATTTCCATTAATTTTTACTGTTTGCCCTTCAATAATGTTGTCACAAGTTTTATATCGCACACTAGGCTACATGTAACTGAGCACACAGAAAAGGGAACTTTCATTTTGTACCAAAAAAGCACCCAAACCAGCTTTGGTGGTAAAATCTTTTATTTCACAGAATCAAGGGATGAATAAACTACTAGACTGTAAAATACCAGAAGCCTCCTATGCTGGCATTTTGAGATATATCACAGTAAACATAAAAATATGGGGGAATTGGGTTAGGGCTGGCTCACTGCGCACAAAATAACTTTTCAACTCGCTTTGGTGGCGCCGAGATCTTTATTTCACTAACTCGACAGATGCAAAATTTCATTAACTTTCTATGTTGACGTATCAAGTAATATCATCGCAAAGTTAAAAGCACCAGGATACAAGGCGAGGTTTGTGGGCTCACTTAACAAAGGGTACACCCACACTGCATCCAAAAGCACCCGAACCAGCTTTGGTGGCAAAATGTTTGTTTTTGTTTCACAGAAGCAAAGGATGAATAAACTACTAGAATGCAAAATTCCAGAAGCCTCCTATCCTGGCTTTTCGAGATATATTACAGTCAACATACTAAAAATATGGGGGAATTAGGTTAGGGTAGGCTCACTGCAAACACAATAACTTCTAAACTAGCTCTGGTGGATCCGCGGTCTTTATTTCACCAAATGGACATATGCATAAGGTATGAACATGCCAAATTTCATTATATCATCGCAAAGTTCCTAGCACCCGGATTCAAGGCGAGGTTATTTGGCTCAATAAATAAAGGGTGCGTCCACGCTGCATCACAAAGCACCCAAACAAGCTTTGGTGGCAAAATGTTTTTTTATTCTATAGAATCAAGTGATGAATAAACGACTAGACTGAAAAATTCCAGAAGCCTCCTATGCTGGCTTTTCGAGATTATTACCGTAAACATACTAAAAATATGGGGAAATCGGGTTAGGGTAGACTCACTGCACACACATTACTTCCAAACTAGCTCTGGTGGCTCCAAGATTTTTATTTCAACAAATCAACAGATGCATAGGGTATGAACATGAACTTTCTATGTTGGCATATCGAGTTATATCATCACAAAGTTCCTAGTACCCGGATTCGAGGTGAGGGCCATGGGTTCAATAAACAAAGGGTGGTTTATTCAAACAGCACCCAAACAAGCCTTGGTGACAAAATGTTTTTCATTTCACAGAGTTAAGGGATGAATAAACTACTAGACTGAAAAATTCCAGAAGCCTCCTATGCTGGCTTTTCGAGATATATTACAGTAAACGTACTAAAAATACAGGGGAATCGGTTAAGTGTAGATCTTTATACCTTATCCATCTGTCGATTTAGACTGGATAACCTGTTCTAATACCCCAGACTCATTCCTACGTCACCCTTTTCTGATTTGCATATGAGACTGGTGGTGGCAAGGCTCTACACAGCATTTTGAACTAACTTGTGCAAACATAAGTAAATTTTCAAAACCACTAGCCAAACAAAATTTTCAGTTGCCAAGTCTGAAGATTAGAATAATTTGTCGTATGATATAGCTAAATTATACTGTGAACATACATAACTTGTCGTCCTATAATAATAATAAAAAAAGATGTTTTAAACATTTTTTTCCGACTGGGACTCACTGCGAGACTAAGACGGCGGTCGGCGAAGCTTGTAATTTTGCTTGTTTGGGTGGTGTAGCGTCAGTAGCATGACTATCATCATTTTTCCCCAACTGAGACTCACTGCGAGACGAAGTTACTTCACTAGTAAAGTAAGACGATATAGGTTTGATTCGTCTGCTAGCCATGCTGTCAGGAGGCAGACCACCATTAATTTCCCCATTGACTTCAATGTTAATTCTGGCCTCTTTGCCCACCTCCAACTTTTCCCCAAATTTTCGTTGGGCTGAATGCTTTTCACTACAGACAGAGGAACAAATGGTCATGTCTTTGCACTAAAATTTGTATGAGGTTGACCACCAAAATTTTGAGATACACAAACTTGAAGAAGCATACTAAAAACATTTAACTAGTTGCCGTACATATCGCCGTAGCTAACCTGATAACCCTCTTATCCTTCCGCCTCAAAATCATGAATATTTACCAAAACCTGGCAGAAAATGTTAATTCAAACCCTCTTCGTCCATTCTAGACCAAAAAATCAACACAAATGGGCATGCAAAAGGGGAGAAAAGAGAGAGAGAGAGAATTGCTATAAATAGACGAACTACAATTCGTGGGTACCGAGATGATGAAATTTAATGGTGGTCTGCCTCCGTCAGCTGTCTCGCAAACTTCCGATAAATACAGCGCATGCGCAATGAGAATTTCCTCGCAGAGGACAATGAGATTGACCCAATTTCAAACCAGGAATGTAACAAGAGTGACATTTGACTGGGATCATTGCCGATTACGTTATCTTTACGGAGGAAAGTTCAGATAGCTATAGTGTTAATTGGGGACTTCAAGATATATGTTCACTCGCCAGAAACCTAGCATTTATAAATATCTGGTCGCCACTGTCAAAATTCACTCGCAAATGCGAGTGTTTCAGTCGCATTGTAGAGCCTTGGGTGGTGGGCAGACATGTTTTGACGTGGTGTTACTAATCAGCACCTGCCAGACCGAATACGCCCAAATTTTGCAAGAGATGGATAGAGAACAAGCTAAAAATAAACGCGATTTTTTGTACAATCAGGGGCAATAATCCAGGAAGTTATGGTCTGAAATGCGGAAATATGAATAGGGACTGAGATCTTTGAGATATAAAGACATCTATTAAGTTTCATAAAAATCGGATAAAAATTGTGACCTCTAGAGGGTCCACAACCTTCATATTACATACTTTTACACAATTTGCATACAAATGGTGGAATGGTGATATATTTAAACGGTTTTTAAAATCAGAAAATAAACTGTGACCTCACGAGAATTCGCAAGCTAAAAATGCGATTTTTCAAACAATCAGGGGCCATAATCCAGGATGTTACGTTTGGATATGGGCGATTATCAAAAGGTACCAAGATCTTAGTGTGTAACGGTGATATATTCACACATTTTTTTTTAAATCGAATAAAAATTGTGACCTCTACAGGGACCACAAGCTAAAAACAAATTTTTTCATACAATCAGGGGCCATAGTTAAGGAAGTTAAGATCTGATACGCACGAATATCTAAAGGAACCAAGATCTTTGGAATATAAACATACATTTCAAGTTTTATCAATATCGGATCCAAGTTGTGACCTCTAGAGGGTCCATAACATTCCAGCGTACAAGGGGCGGCCATTTTGTCCGATGGTTTGGGTCCAATTTTCATGAAATTCGAACTTAACAAAAATCATGGTGTAACGGTGATATATTCAAACATTTTTTTTAAACCGGATAAATAATGTGATCTCTAGAAGGACTACAAGCTAGAAACTCGATTTTTCGTACAATCAGGGGCCATAAACAAGGAAGCTAAGATCCAATATGATCGAATATCAAATGGAACCAAGATCTTTGGGATATAAACATCCAATTCAAGTTTTATCAAAATCGGATCAAAATTGTGACCTCTAGAGGGTCCACAACCATATCATGATATACCAGGTGTTTACACTATTTGCGTACGAGGGGCGGCAAATTTATCCAACAGTTTTGGTCCGATTTTCACGAAATTCGAACTCAACCAACATTATGGTGTAACGGTGATATATTTAAATGGTTTTTTTTAAAATCGGATAATAATTGTGACTTCGACCACAACTTAAAAACGCAATTTTTCATCCAATAATTGTGAACCTCGAGAAGGACCACAAGTTAAAAACACGATATTTTGTACTATCAGGGGCCATAATTCAGGAAGTTACAACCGATATGCACGATTATTTAGGTTATAAACATGCATTTCAAGTTTCATCAAAATCTGGTGAAAATTGTGACCTCTAGAGTGACCACAAGCTAAAAACGGGATTTTTCGTACAATCCATGAAGTTATGGTCTGATATGCCAATATCGAAAATCTGGGTGTATAAAAATAAAAGGGCATACCTAATCATGTTGTTTAGTGTTAAAATGAGTAAGCTAGAAGATTTGTTAAAGGGATATTCCCAATTTCATAGAGCCTAAGACATAACAGTCTGTGTACCTATGAAATTTACTTGCCAAAATATAGAGGAATTGTGTATTTACCTTGTCTGAAAAGTTCAGTTCAAAATATTGAGTCATTTGGACGTGAATGTCAAAACCACAGGCACTTGAAGGGATTAAAATATAAATTCTTGCTACTGCATTCCACAATAACAACACGGTTTATCACTCGATATATTGTTTTTCCTTGTTGAAAAGATTTTGACTGCCATCATCTCACAATACTCACAAATTCTAACAGTACACTCCTGTCGTTTTGATTGCCAACAAGATTTTATTTGATCATTGTAGCACAAATTAGAAATTTCCTCGATTCTGACTGGTCGAAAAGTGTGGTCTAATGGACAATAAACCCCCTCTAAAATTATCACGGCGCATTATGCGTATAAATATTACTAGGCCTACAGTGTACTTTTTTCATTTTGTGTTCAATGATCTTCCTCGACTCAAATCTTTATTAGCAAATATCTTCAAGAAATTCTGCACACATGACTATCACACCATTTTCAACCATACTGTATCTTTTATGAAAACACATTTCTGAAATACATAAAACAGTATAAAATAAATTTTGCAAGAGATGGATAGAGAACAAGCTAAAAACAAATGGAATTTTTTGTACAATCTGGGGCAATAATCCAGAAAGTTATGGTCTGAAATGCCCAAATATCAAAAGAGACTGAGATCTTTGGGATATAAAGGGTCCACATCTAGAGGGTCCACAACTTTGATATACCAGATGTTTTCACTAATTGTGTACGAGGGGCGGCCATTTTGTCTGTCAGTTTTGGTCCGATTTTTACAAAATTTGAACTCAACCAACCTTAGGGTGTAACGGTGATATAATGTATTCAAACGTTTTTTTAAATCGGATAAATATTATGACCTCTATAGAGTACACAAGCTAAAAACACAATGTTTTGTAAAATCAGGGTCCATAAATTAGGAAGTTCCAGTCCGACATGCGCGAATATCGGAAGGATTCGAGATCTTTAGGTTATAAACTTACACTTCAAGTTTCATCAAAATTAGAAGAAAATTGTGATCTCTAGAGGGTGCACAACCTTGATTTTGTCTGTCAGTTTTGGTCCGATTATTACAAAATTAGAACTCAACCATACGGGGGGGGGGGGCAACAGTGATATATTCAAACGTTTTTTTATCGGATAAAAATTATGACCTCTATAGGGCCCACAAACTAAAAACGCGATTTTTTGTACAAACAGGGGCCATAATTCAGGAGGTTACAGTCCGATATGCCAGAATATCGACTGGAACTGACATCATTGGTTTATAAACTTACATTTGAAGTTTCAACAAAATCGGATAAAACCTGTGACCTGTGACCAATACATGCCAATATCGACAGGAACCAAGATCTTAGGGAGATTAACATATATTTCAAGTTTCGTTGAAATCGGATAAAAATTGTGACCTGTAGGGTGTCCACAAACAATTGTGGACAGATGGACAGGGGCGACGACAATTTACGTCTACATGAAAATGTGGGCGTATAAAAATCGTTTTCAGGTATCCAAATATATTCGTAATTAGGCAGTGACAGTATGGACAAATTTTATTTTATTTTTTTTGTAGGCTTTCTTCACTCATCAATTTTTACTTTAATAGCAGCTGAAATATAGGCCTAATCATTATTATGCCTATAGCAACCACTAGAATCTTACAGACCAAGAGCCAGTGACGAAAAAACTGCCTCTTAAAGAGTCTTAACTCTTAACTGACCCACAGCGACTTTTGTCGACACCTATAACGTTACCGTTAAGTACCCACGGCGACTTTTGTCGACAAAACCGGTTAGCCGAATCCAACGTTCCTAGCGTAATGAGAGTTATTTCCCTTATGAACAGACGACTTTATCTCATTTGTTTACTTCCTGTTTGACATTTTGACAGTTAAAAATCTTACTGTTTCTTCTTGAAAAATTATAATAAAATGGTGATATGTCTAGACCTATTCCGCAATAGGTCTGTGTTAGGCATTAGTCGGTTCTAAAAATATAAAATCTGACTGGTATCATTGGGGCATATCCCTAATCTGACTACTTAAATATCACAACCCACCACACCAGCAAGGTGAATACACATTTTGTTATCACTTAAAAGTTAAACCTACAAACTGAAATATGATTCAAATTTGTGCCAAATGTCTGTGAGTACATGTAGGTTCTGTTTGGTTTATAAACCTTTCAGAACTTTCTACATCTGGCCTAATTTACACTTGTTAAATGACATATGACAAACAAACTTTTCTATTGTACATGTAGGTGTATCTTCGTCATTCATATCTTGGAGGCATCCAAAGTTGGAAAATTATTCTCGGGACTCTGAATTGCCCTAAGGACCTTTATTGGACGAAACTTTCCCATTCTGAAGAATGCAGCAGTGTAGTCACAGTCCGTGATCCAGTGAAAAGCTAGCAAATCACTGCATAATGATGGAACTAATTCTCTCAATATATCTCAAATTATTTTGTGACTGTATTCCAACCTCCATCCACACATTTCCAGCACAAGGAATTTCCAAGTAGAATGATCAAAACATCTGTAGCTATGTTTGGACAGGTTTGTCGAAGCTATATGAAAGATAGGTTGCTAGGCAACAAAACATATGCCTACATGTCGACAAGGGTTGTCACATATTTATTCTTTTGTAGGTAATTAGGAGCATTTAATAGACAATTTCATACCGATGACATTATAATTTTCATCGTTTGAGGGGTCACAAACTAAAACAAGGGCCTTAACTCTGGAAGTAATCTACAAAAATTGTTGAAATTCGACAGGCTTCTTCATTTCACTAATTCAAATAATGCATATAAATTTCAGAAAGATAGGATGATAACTTTTGGGGTTAGAGCGTTCACAAGGTTCAACAAAGTAAATCAAGGGCCATAACTCTAGAAGTAATTGACGGAAATTGCTGACATTAAATAGGCTTCTTCATTTCACTAATTTAAATGATGCATATGAATTTCATACTGGGTGAGAACTTTTGACGTTCAAGTGTTCACAAGATTCAACAAAGTGAAACAAGGGCCATAACTCTAGATGTAATTAACGGAAATTTGCTAAAACTGAATAGGCTTGTTTGTTTAACTAATTTAAACGATACATATAAATGTCATGCAGATCGGATAACTTTTGTCGTTAGAGCATTCACAAAGTGAAACAAGGGCCATAACTCACGGTGTAATTAACAGAAATTGCTGAAATTCAATAGGCTTCTTCCTTGCACTAATTTAAATGATGCATCAATTTTAAACAGATCGGATGATAATTGTTGTCATTAGAGCATTCACAAGATTCAACAAAGTGAAATAAGGGGCCATAACTCTAGATGTAATTAATGGAAATTGCTGAAATTCAGTATGCTTCTTTGTTTTACTAATTTAAATGATGCATATAAATTTCACACAGATCGGATAATAACTTTTGTTGTAAGAGCATTTACAAGGTACAATAAAGTGAAACAAGGGCCATAAATCACGCCGTAATTAACGGAAATTGCTGAAATTCAATAGGCTTCTTAGTTTCACTAATTTAAATGATGCATATTAATTTCAAACAGATAGGCTGAAAACTGTTGTCATTAGAGCGTTCACAAGATTCAAAAAAGTGAAACAAGGGCCATAACTCTAGATGTAATTAACAGAAATTGCTGAAATTCAATAGGCTTCTTTGTTTTACTAATTTAAATAATGCATATAAATTTCATACAGATCGGTTAATAACTTTTGTCGTTAGAGCGTTCACGAGGTGCAACAAAGTGAAACAAGGGCTATAACTCCAGAAGAAATTAACAGAAGTTATTGAAATTAAATAGGCTTCTTTATCTCACTAATGCAAATAACATTTATCAATTTCAAAACAATTAGATGATAAATGTAGTCTGTAGAGGACGAGGGCGAAGGCAATATACGACCACATTTCCATGTGGGCGTATAAAAAGCATCCTTGAATCTTCGTGCATACATGTCAATGTAGAATCTTTGTTACACTGAAGAGACCCATTTACATTCGTATAACATAACAGTCTGTATCCCGAGTTACATACAATGTGTTAGATCTAATTGGCAAATACCGGTAGTCAGTACTCATTCAAATGTTAAGTATGTACTGCACAAGAGATTTTTTGAATTTATCATTTTTTAATGCTGATGTAAAGTTTGATGGCAGCCTCATGTTTGGACCTGAAATGGTGTATTCTTGGTCTTGATCTAAGGAACCAGCACGTCTATCTCTCTCTATGTCCTTTCTCGATGGTTTTTCATTGCTGTCAAGTACAGCATGGAACTCTCGACTCGACACATTAAATACTTTAACCAAAATATAACAAGCAATTGCACAAAATGTTGCTGGGAGGTCTCCAAGTACATGTAGATGAAGAAAAACCATTCCATCTATCACTGTACAGTCAATCCATTTAGGCTTACGAGACTCAATTCCGATTTCAAGGGCCTTCAAAAGCAAAGATGTTTGAGTTGATATCATGGTTTCATCTATATAACTAAACACAAGTCGCATTGTGTGAGGGGATAAGATTATAGTAATCATCAGGTCAAATTTATTTTCGATAAAGCAATCGACTCATCATATCTTTCTCCACTTTCAACTGTAGCCTACGATGTTGCCTGTTTTTTTTTATTTCTTTTAGGTACCGTCAGAAGCAAATGTGCTTGGTTTTGACCGTTTTATGGGTTTATCAAACCAGGAAGGGTCTGCAATAATGTCTGAAATAAATTTGTCACCAGACATGTTACCATTTTCAGAAACGTTTAAAAAGGAAATCTGTTGATTAATGTTAATTAATATATCTTGATCCGCATTATTCTTGAATGGATTAGACATGTTTAGTATTCTTTCAGTAATTTTGATGCGATGTGCTGTGTTCTTCTGAATATTAGCTTGTCTCAATTCAGAAGTTACATCTTCAGATCTGGAAATGCCTAAATGTTCAAACTCCAACTATAGTAGCCCTCATAATGATATAATGAGACATGGACCATCTCTGTCTAGCTGCTATGAGAGAGAGAGAGACAGAGACAGAGAGAAATGGGGTTTAACATCCACTCGACACAAACTAGTCATTTCGGGACTAACACATGGTTTAACTTTATTTCAATAATTCGCTTGTGCATAGGGGTCTTTAGCAGTGGGAAGAAACCAGAGGTCCCGGAGAAAACCAACCCACGAGGTTCCACAGGGGACCCTACTCCTTGTCAGGTACAACCGGGGAATCGAAACCACGCCAGTTAACTCAATGACAGACCGTATGATACAGCGTGCACGTGCTAACCATTCGGCCATCCAACCCCCTCTCTAGCTGCTATGAAATTTCTATGATGATACTAATATCACCGAATAGTAATACTAATTTTTAGTTCTTTTTCAAATTTTATTTTAAGAATACATGTACATAATTTATTTAACTCTTTATTCATGTACCGGTATATAGACAATTAAAGCTAACATTAAGGTTATCAGTCTGTCTTTACTTTTAATGTTAATAAAGTCTATAAAG